CTCTACTACGTTACAAATTTAAATTACTATTCTTATTTTTCATATTTACGTAAATCATAAAGCGTAAAGTAATTAAATTTTATTGATTCCAATCTTGTTAGAAGCTCTGTTATCACAACTCGTGCTTCATGATAATCTCCTACGTTATCCGTAAGATTCCACTGCTGGTACTATCCTATCGAAGAGAGCATTTACTACAATCGTCACGCATGGCAGTTCAGCGATCGTACTATCGGATACAACGCACCTGTGACGTTGCTTGTCGCAGGTCGAAGTGTTTTTATTTGTTTATTTATTTTACAATTTTTCTTAATAAAGTTACAAACGGCGAACTTAATTCCATAAGGCATTGTCTACCAGGCAACCAGAAAGATAGTGGAGGAAGTGTGTACTGCAGTGGTCCAGGGTGAAACATAATAACCTCACATACACTTACGTGTAGGTCATACTTGTTTAAATATATTTAAGGGTATAATAGATTATATATTTATTAATATATTTTTATGAATTATATACGTTTACGCTTATTTGTCAGATGTGACTTAGTGATGTTCGCTCACTTTTGTTTTAAAAATCTATGTGTTAGAGGATTTTCTTACTACGAAGATAAGCGCAATCCAGAGTCGTACAGCTGTAACAACGAAGCAGTTTGAGAAAAAACCAGTACGGAGAGATGGAATTTGCAGAACGAGATATTTTTGAGAACGTAGATTGCAATCATAGAAAGAATCCAGATATTGAAACTAACATGAGATTTTTTCCGGACCGATACCACTTAGGGCCTTCAAGAAAAGAGCCTACTTCCTTTTAAAAAGGCCAGCAACGCATCTGCAATTCCCCAGGTGTTGCAGTTGTTCATGGGCGGCGGTAATCACTTACCATCAAGTGAGCCGTATGCTCGTTTGCCCCCTTTCCTATAAAAAAAAACATTTCAAATCCTCTGAGGCCAGCGGATTGTTAAGGATAATAAAAAGAGTGCTAATAATACTAAGATTTCTGCGTTGTTGGATATTCAACGATAAATATAACGATAATAATATTGAGAGCGGTAGAATGAGATGTAGTCATACTTTCGAAGACCAAAAATTAAACGGATAGTTGTTGAGAAGTCAATCCATTTTATTGACTAAGCGATTTTTCAGATTAAAGTGACAAACACGTGCTTTTTATTTACATAAGAGATAGTTACGACACCTTCCATAAAAATATTCTAAAAAAAAGTTATACCTAAACCGTGACTAAAAGCCGAAGTTAAGTGATTTAAGTGGGATTTTTACAATAAAACAATATTTTTTTGTTTTATCGATTAATCTTGAGAAAACTTAGACTATTGTCATCGGTAGTTCTAGATTAATTGGAAAAATCGGCTGGTCTTCCCTACCTCCTATTATACTAGACTGCACTCAAATCCCTTACAGTAAGAAGGTTAAAAACTCGACTCCTGTATGTCTTGGACCTGACAGCTTAATGAGATTTGTAGAAAATTGTTTGCTGCTTCAAGCTCCTTACATAAATTACGCAATTTTCTTCCCACAGTAATTAAAGATACGCTCGCTCAGTCTCTACATCTGCCTATCTTGACTATTCTGATATTTGCTACCTTGACGTTTCAGATGAGCAGCTCAATAAGCTTGAGCGCGTTCAAAATTTATGTATTAAGGGGAAATAGAAAAAATAATACCTCAAATGGCTCAGCAAGATCCTTCGTTATGCCGAAAATATTGCAGCATTAATTTTGAAATAAATATATGGTAAAGTTGAGGATTATGTTAAGTACTATGTTAGACGAAAACACGATTTCGTAAAATTTTCTTGATCGAAAAAAATCCAAATTTATCTCCAAACTGAACAATAAACCGCTAGTATTCATAAAATACTTTAAATTAGAGCATGAAACTTTGCACACTAACTAAAGTAATTATAAAGCAGGGCTTATGTTTTTTATTTTTTTTTTAATTGCGACTGGGTTGTCGTAAAGAAACAGGCATAAATACGATAAAGCTAATGAAATAAGTATCTAATGACCTATCTAATAACAATATTAGTGATTACAAACATGTCGATACAACGCACCACGCGCTGTTTGAACAACTACGCTCGGCGCGACTTGGCAAAGTTCACACGATCCATTACTTGTCAGTTTTTTCGACACGGAACAAAGGCGCGCGCGCCATCTTCGGCTCGGCTTGTGTTAATACGCGTTACGCGCCGTCTAAACAGATGGTACAGAACGCGCGACGAAGGAAGACCCATTTTGTTTTTAGCGACGTTTTTAATTTGAAGAATTGGGTTTGTATGAGATGGAGTGGAGGTTCAATTCTTCATTGAACTGTACACCATCCACCATCGTCTTCTTAGTCTTTTTGAATTTTTACCACCGAGCAAAATAACAGTAGCTGCTGCTGCAGCAAGGCGTTTTCGTTTATCCATATTGCAGAACGAACAAGCGGGCAGCGCGTTTCAACAGCGCGAAGTGACTCACACATCATGTGAGCCGTATTTCCACGGACGGCTCGGCTCGCGTAGGATCGTGCTACCCCGCGTCGTTTAAACGAGCAGGCTTGCGTTCGTATTTAGCTGAGACGCATCTCCACGGACGGCTCGGCTCGCGTAGGATCGTGCTACCCCACGTCGTTTAAACGAGCAGGCTTGCGTTCGTATTTAGCCGAGCCGCATCTCCACGGACGGCTCGGCTCGCGTGGGATCGTGCTACCCCGCGTCGTTTAAACGCACCTTTAGATAATATTTGGGCTCCACAAATAATATCACATCTCTGAATTTTGGAAACAGCTCAAATAGCTCCCGATTCACCTTCGCAGGAATAATCACATTTTCTCCGCTTTGTATCGTATGCTGTTTAATCCTTCCACTTCTTATTATTTAAAAACGGTTTCCAGTAATAACCTTACCCATAATCGGTTCTTCGATACTCTGTCAATCTTTCTCTCTCTCTCTCTCTCTCTCTCTCTCTGCTCTTTTGCACTTTTTGTCCTTTTTTAAGAAATCCATTACTGTCACTTCTGTACGTTTGTGGAACTTTACCTCTCCAAATTATTGGTGCTCAATCTTTTCATTCCTTCAAAAGCCTTGTTAAATCGTATTACTTAGAATGCTATTAGAAATACCTTTTATATCATATTACAAATCATTTTCACTTCATATTATGTTTAAAGACATTTATTCTCATAAAGACATTTTATACGCCACTTACATGAGAACATAAATAAAAGTAAATCTAACTAACAAAATTCATTGTCGTACCTATGTTGTTGAAAAATAAATAACATCAAAAACAGCTATTGTCGGGAAAAATCTATACAAATAAAAGAAAAGTTAAATTCTACTATACACTATCACCTTATCACCACAATAATAACCAGGAACAAACCAGTCCAACGCACTCAGATAGATATGTTTGTGATTATATGATTTGCTAGTCGCTTTTTGAATACATTGAACGAGTCTACATTTTTTATTTCCGAGGGTATCTTATTAAAAAGGCGCGAACCTTCGCATGTAATTGTGGTCTGGCCGTACTTTGTTCGAGTTTTAGGCAAAACAATGAAGCTTGCGCGTCGAGTGCAGATGCGCCCAACTTTTTTTCGCTTGGTGAATTGCAGATCCGTGCGGACCTTCTTGTTCATGGATTTGCGAATAAAGATACATGTGCTGTAAATGTATAATTGTTTGATATTCATCAGATTCGTCTCTCGGAAAATTTTTGAAGTTGACGTTCGGAAATTGTAGTTGAATAGCATTTTTATGATTTTATTTTGTAGGATTTGTAATTTGTTTAATCTAGTACTGGCAGCGCTTCCCCAGACCTCGATGAGATATAACAGGTGTGGTTTAACGAGGGCATTATATATTGTGAAACGTAGTTTCTGTGGTATGTATCGAAAATTAATCCGAAGTAAGGCGTGAAGTGACATTAATTTGGTTATTAAATATTTAATGTGAACTTTCCATGTTAAATAGGTATCCAAATGAAGGCCAAGATATTTTTCATTAGTTTCTTCTTGCAATGGTGTATTGTTTATTTTAAGAGGTGTGAAATTAGGTATAGGTTTATTTTTTGCTTTAAATATTATGTAGCTAGTTTTGGAAATGTTGATAGTTAATAAATTGTATTGTAACCAATCGTGAAGAATGTCAAGGTCCTGCTGGGCTTGAGAGACAAGATCATGAATTGAAGGGCCAAAGTAGAAAAGGCAAGTGTCATCAGCGTAAAGTGTGATATTGCCATTCAAGCCCAACTCATGCATATTGTTAATATAGACTAAAAAGAGCAGAGGACCCAATATTGAACCTTGTGGAACTCCATAGGTTATGGGTTGTGGGGGACTTTGAGTGCTATTGCCTATTTTAACAACCTGGGATCTATTCGTGAGGTAAGACTCAAACATTTTTAAGGCTGTGCCAGTAATACCAATGACTTCCAGTTTTTTTAAGAGCAGTTTATGACTTACGGTGTCAAATGCCTTTTTCAAATCGATGAATACTCCTAGTACGATGTTTTTTTTATCAATGTTTTGTTTGATTTTAGTTACCAGATCAATTGTAGCTGTGAGTGTATTACTTTTAGAACGAAATCCGTACTGTCTTTCAAAAAAGAAATCTATAGAATCTAAGTAGTTTTGTAGCCGTGTATGCAAGACATTTTCGAGAATTTTTGATAATACTGGCAGTACGGAAATTGGTCGATAGTTGCCCGGTTCTGTTTTTGGTCCCGATTTGTAAATAGGTGTTACTTTGGCTATTTTAAGTGAGTCTGGAAATGATCCGTTTTGTAAAAGTTTGTTAAAGTTTTTCGTTAATGAACTTATTATTAAGTCCTTCACACACTTGATAACCTTTGTACTAATACCATCTAGACTGACACTACTGTTTGAATCAAGTTTGTTAATAATATTAAGAATTTCTTCTTCAGTGCATGGGTCTAAATTATTCATTTGCAAATTTTGTAAAAGTGGTTTTGGTAGTGCGTGAGTATAATTTACATGGAACTGAATAGGTATTTCGTCAGCTAAATATGGCCCTATAGTAGCGAAAAAGTTATTAAATATATTGCATATCTCATGAGGATCAGTAATTTCTATTGAATTAACAATAAGTTTAGGAGGAGCGCATCTTTGTTTAAATTTATTATTTGTTAGGGTATTGAGTAAATTCCATAGCTTTTTGGGTTTTCCACTGTATTTGTCGAATTCCTTCTTATAATATGACTTCTTTGTTTCCCGTATTAACTTGATTATTTTATGTCTTTTGGTGATAAACTTTTCTTTCAGGTCTTCTCTTTCTGGGTTGTTCTGTAGTTCTGTCCACATCAAGTTTCTTTCATTGATCTCTGTTATGATACTTTTGTTTATCCATTCTTTTTGTGGTTCATTCATAATTTTGGTCTTTATTACTTTGCTTTCTTCCATACATTTTTTTATTAGTTTTTCCAGTCTTGTGAAGTCATCGTTGGATTCTTGTATTCCTGCTTTCTCCATTGATTTATGAAGTTCTTTATAATTTATTGCTTCGTATTGATAATATTTTCTTGGGGGCGGGTTTGTTCTCTTGATTTCCACGTAAAGCTGTCTATGATCAGAAAAAAGATGAGTTGACATATACCATATGAAAGTTTTCTTCCTTTAAGTTGGTGCTTACATGATCTAGGATAGACTTTTTTGTATGTCCTTGTCTGGTGTAATATTTTTTTGTGATTTTATTTATGATCTTGTATCCAGTCTGTTTTAGCAGATGACTGTATCTTTTGGTCTCTGAATTTTTTGTGAGTAAGTCAACGTTAAAGTCACCAAAAACTATTGCTCTGCTTCTTTCTTGTAATTGTGATTCGTATACTTCAAGAAATTGCTTGAAATTAGTGTGTCCAGGATTATATACCACTCTTACTTCAAGTGCATATTTTTGTAGTTTTATCCACAGATAGTTATTGCCTCCTACATATTTTGACTCTGATAAACTGTGCTTCAGGTTATTGTGGACATAAGCAGATACCCCTCCTCCACCAGCATCTGTTCTGTAGTTATAATAATGAAAGTAATTCGGTAGTTGAAGTTGTAATGCTTGTTCCTCATTGCGAATCCAAGTTTCAGTTATCAGTATGATGTGCACATTATTTGGTATTGCTTGTAATACACACTTGAGTTCATCGAGTTTTCCCACTTTACGTATACTTCGAGCGTTGAGGTAGAGAAAGGTAAAGCGTGATTTGTTGATTGTAAAATTTTGGTAACTGTTTAATATTTCATAAGTGTTGTTTTTGATACAAATGTTTATTTCTGTGTTTACTGTGTGGAGTTTTTTGTCACTTCTCTTTATTAATATGTATTTTAATGGTTTTTTGTTCGTAATTTATAATAGAGGGGGGGGGGGCTCTATTATAACTATTGTTTGCATCAGTTCTCTACGCAAAGGTTGCCTGAAAGAGATGATTTTCGGAGTGATAAGACCGCCTGTTGTATATATTATGCTTAGGTTTAACTCAATAAATTATTCTGTTTTTAGTATGCAATAAAGAGTAAATAAATAAAAATCCCACATTACGTTAACAAGTAAAATTGCAACTTAACCACAATCCACTACAGGGCACAGCAGGAGTCCACTGCACTGACTTTGTTAATGGACTTCACGTATCTTAAAAATATATAAAGTATATATAACAATTAATATCTCAGGCATGCAGGTTTCCTTCCGATGCTTGCCTTCACTGCCGAGGTCGTGGCCAACCAGCACTTAAATTGCAATTAAAGCGGGAATGAACCTTGGTTTGCTTACTTATTGTGAAATTTACGGTACGTTTAGATTTACTTGAATGTTAAACGTAATCCATCTTATTCATCCACTACAGGTTTAAATGTCCACTACTGGCCATAGGTCTCACCATAGATTGCTCCATAGTATTACATATTTGTAAAAGATATTTGCCACACGAATTAAAATTAAACATAACATAAACACTCACGCCTGTCACCCAGAGGGGTAGGCAGATACTACGGACTTCAATTGGCACGATCCTGACATACCTCTTTCGCCTCCCTTACATCCACATATCAACGCATTCATTCTCGTCGGTTAAGGGTACTTCTAACGTGGCCCATTTTCAAAATATTGCCAATTTGGTCGATAAACTTTCTTCTAATGTATCCCTTCCCGACTCTGCTGTTCACATCTGCCAAATAAATTTGCTTTGTCACTCTTTCCTCATTCATTCTTTCTACATGACCAAACCACCGAAGCATTCCTTTCTTAATTAAATTTAAACTCTATAAAATCCGTAAAATTAGTTTTATTTAATGTCGTCAAAATAGATACATTAAAAACGACACTACCTTATTTTACAACCCAATGGAATCTTTTCTCCTGAATATTGAAGCACTTCCGAAATTTAATAAATGTAAAAAAATAATCTAAACGGTTCATAAGTGACGAAGATGTCGCGTAACAAACATAAAAAATCATGCAAAAGGATTGTGAATATATTCTTATTTTGCAGTCTAAACATAGCTTCAATGCATGTTTAATGAGACAATTCGCGGTTTTGTGTTAAAAATACTTTAAGACTATTTTTACAACCAGAGGTTAAATTTTATCGAAATTAAATCTAGCCAATTACGTTAACATCGTAAGACCTTATTGGTAGCAAAATGCATGACACTTAATTACCATATGAGCGGCACGTAGAAAGCCATTTGCTTTGCTCTTTAGCGACGAGTGCTCCATTAGAATCAGTTTAATTGAATTTTCCAGTAGCAGTATGCTCAGCCCTAACTGTTCTTATATAGTCGCGGTAAACTGAAAAAATTCAATTATATTTGTTTTAATTTTCTTATTTCATTTCTTTTTTATAAAAACGTTTAAAAAATGAATATCATATGATGTAATCATGTAATATTAAAAAAGTGCACAACTCTGATAAAGATTTACAATATCACTTCAACTTATGGCAAAATTTCAAATATTTTCACTTGGAAAATGGCTTTTTTTGATAATCCGGCGGCAAAACCATTTTCGTGCCACAATATACAATGAAAATAATAAATGCTTTTACCCCAACTATGCTTGAAACGTTTGATGTGTCTGCATGTTCTAAATTAAAAGGTAGACGGGGAAGCTTTGAATATGATATAAGAGTTTGTCCTGGAACTGAATAGTGAATCAGCAGAAATACTAAAAAAAATTCTCCATATGCTCTGTTCAAGATGGGCTCAAATTAATCGATGAGCAGAAAGACCATTGGGTGGATTGGTGCAAACTCGTGATTAAGAAATTCGGCGATGAAATATGTATATAATCTTAGTACAAAGTGTTAGTGCGACTGTTAAGTGCTTTGAAAATCAGCCAAATACAACGAAATGTCGTTGTGCGAGAAACCCACAAAAACAAATTAATAATAGTATTAATAATAATAATAATAATGGCGTAGGGAATTGATGACCCCATCGCCCGCTGACGTAACAGTTAAGTGACAAAACTGCTACGTCAACGCAGTCAGTCAGCGCCTTGCGAGAGATGTGAGCGCCGTGCCTCGGCAGAATTTAGGGTGCAGAGGCCCGTTTGTGCTTATGGCTACACACGAAACGGTGCCGGGCCTGGGCGTCTCCCGTTAACGCGGACGCGGCAGCATGCGGGCCGCCAGCCGAGCGCGAGGAGCTGCACGGTCACCTAGCAGCCCTCCGCATCCATCATCCCCACCAGAAGGCTTGGTGTCGGCTGGGTCTTCTCGGACTCAGCAAGCGGCACCCGCCGCTGGTGGAGCACGTCGCATGCGTTGGTCACAAGCAATGAATGTAAACGCACTGCGGGCATACTTTAGGGCAAAAGGGGAAGAAACTGGATGTTTGGCGTATCGGGCTAGGATGCATCGTCTTTTTGCTGAGCTGGAGCCATCTTTAACCGTCACAGAGCAAAACCTGGCAGACCGAGTTCGGTATATCTTGCGCTCAAATATATTTGATGTCGCCGAACTCGAACGGCTACGACGTGAGGCTGTTCCCTCGTCGGATGAGAATGCTACGGCTGAGGATGCGGCGCCACAAATGGTAGAGCAACCCGCAAACGTGGATGCCGCCGTGAATACCCCAGTTGTGGTTGATTCAAACGATGATGGAACAGTCGCCCAGGAACTGGAATTAGAGCATATGATGAGTACATTGGAAGAGGCGATTGTGGAAACGCGCAGTAAGCCTCTCGAAAATCGACCGCGACTTCCCCGCATAGCCCTAAGCAAGCGGAATCGGGCTGTCGTGAGGGCTCTGAACCCAATGCTGGTGACCTATTTGGGAGCCAGCCGGGACCTTTGCGAGACGGACTCAATTCTTTTTGGCGCCGCGCTGGCAGTCTGCCGTATCATAGGCGCCAAGGTTTCCACGGCTGGACGCGCTACTGGCCATAGTAGCGCTATCCCAGCATGGAGAAGAAGAATTGAGGAACGTATCGCAAAGGCTAGAGCTCTCATCGGTAGACTGATATGCTTCAGATCAGGCAACAACAGGCCAAGAATTGTGCGCACCGTCAGGATGGCGTTTGCTGGGACAAATGTCAGTTTGTCCCAGCCGGATATAACGCAAAAACTGACGGAGCGCATAGATGATCTGAAGCAGAGAATCGCTGCTTGGGGAAAGCGGATTCGGCGATATACCGAGAGGTCGTCACGGTTCAACCAGAATCGTCTCTTCCAGAGTGATCAGAAGAGGCTCTATGAATCATTGGAGCGACCAATGGTAAGTGGAACGGGTCCAGCACCGAATCAGGCCGACACTGTAGCATTCTGGCGCGGCCTGTGGTCAGAGCCCGTAAACCACAGCGAGGGCCCATGGACGGAAGTTGTGGCGAGTCAGTGTGCGGGTATTACGTCCATGGACCCCGTCATCATAACGCCGGATGACGTAGCTGAGCTCCAAACTGGAAAAGTCCGGGGCTTGACGGGCTGCATCACTACTGGCTGAAGGGGTTCATGGTGTGTCACTCTATGCTCGCCCGACAGTTTCAAGAGGCTCTCAACCAGAAGTCGCTCCCAAGCCGCTTCACTACTGGGATCACTCATTTGGTTCCTAAAGACCAGGGTACCACAGACCCGAGCAAATACCGCCCCATCACGTGTCTACCGACCATATACAAGACACTAACATCCATTTTAAGCTCGAGAATCACTTGTCAACTGTACTCAAATCAGGTGATGTCGCGCGATCAAAATGGATGTCGGGGCGGTGGTCGTGGAACCAAGGAACCACTCCTCATTGACGCGGTCATTGGCAAAGTGGTGAAACGCAACCGTCGGAACTTCTCCGCCGCCTGGATAGACTACAGAAAGGCATTCGACTCGGTGCCCCATACATGGCTAAAGAGAGTCCTCGAGCTGTACAAGATAGACTGTACAGTTAGAGACTTCCTCGAGCAGTGTATGGGGCAGTGGAGTACGATCCTTTGTCATCTGGGCGTGCGGACGATGGCTGCGGAGAACCACATAAGGATAAGAAGGGGTATC